AATTCCATAGTGTAGATCCATTATTACAAACATGTACTACATCTGAGTTTGTATATGATCATGTTTTGGTTTTGTGTATATGTTTATCTTTTGGATCTATCTTCCACATATGAGAGGAAATAATTCAACTCTATCTTTCTCAGCCTGACTTACTTCATTTAACATAATGTCTCCAATTGCATCCATATAACTTCAAACTACATCATATCATTCTTTCTGATGGCTGAGTAAAACTCCATTGTATGTGCATATATATATATATATATATATATATATATACACAGATGGATAGACAAATACATAGATGCAGATATATATGTATATATATAGATACATATATAGAGAAGAGAGATAGATATATGTCTATATATACAGTTGCATATATAGATATCTACTATCTATCTATCTATTTATCTCTATATATACATATCTATCTATCTATTCTTGACCTATTCATCAGTTGTAGGGCATCTGGGTTGTTTTAATAGCTTCCCTATTGTGAACTGTGCTATGATTAACATCAGTGTACAGGTGTCTCTATTGCATCCTGACTTACGTTCCTTTGCATAGATGCCCAGGAGTGGTATCACTGGATCATATGCCAGTTCTATTTTTATCTTTTTTTAGAAATTTCCACACTGTTTTCCATAATGGTTGTACTAATTTGCATTCCCATCAACAATGTAAAAGTGTTCCTGCTTCACTGCATCCTCACCAGCATTTGTTGTTTTTGCTCTTGAAGATGGCCATTCTAACTGGGGTGAGATGAAATCTTCATGTTGTTTTGATTTGCATCCCTTTAAAGTTGAACACTTCTTCCTGTATTTATTGGCCATTTGCACCTCTTCCTTTAAAAATTCCCTATTCAACTCATATGCCCATTTCTTCATTGACTTGTTGATTCTTTGTTTTTGAATTCCCTATAGATTCTGGATATTAGTCTCTTATTGGGTGAATAGCTGCCAAAGATTTTCTCCCATTCTGTGGGCAGTATCTTAAGTCTAGTGACTGTTTCTTTTGCTGTGAAGAAGCTTTTTAGTTTGATGCAGTCCCATTTGTTCATTCTTTCTCTTAGATGCTGAACAGTTGGAATTCTATTTAGGAAATCATTCCCTATGCCTATCTATTCCAGTGTGTTTTATACTGCTTCCTGTAGTTGTTTCAAAGTTTCAGACTGTTGAGTTGATTTTGGTACAGGGTGAGAGACAGGGATCTAGTTTCAGTCTTCTACATGTGGGTATTCTGTTTTCCCATCAGCATTTGTTGAAGAGGCTGTCTTTTTCTCCATAGTGCTTTGGGCTACTTTGTGGATAATCAGTTGCCTGTAATTGCATGAGTTTATGTCTGGGTCCTCTATTCTAATCCATTGTTCTTCATTTTGGTTTTTGTGCCAATACCATGCTGTTTTTATTGTTATGGCTATGTAGTATAGTTTGAATTTGGGAATTGTCATACCTTCAGCATTGGACTTTTTGCTCCAAATTGCTTTGGCTATTGAGGTCTTTTTTTTCATATGAATTTTAAGATTTATTTTTTTTATCTCTATGAAGAATGTCATTGGGATTTTGATGTAAATTACAATGAATATATAGATGACTTTTGGTAGTATAGCCATTTTCACAATGTTGAGTTTAGGTTATCTTCCCATCTTCTAAGTTTTCTTTGATTTCTCTCTTCAGTGATTTGTAGTTTTCATTGAAAAGGTCTTTGGTTTCCTTCATCAAACTTATCCCAACATATTTTTTGAGGCTATTGTAAATGAGATTGTTTCCCTGATTTCATTCTCAGTCTGTTCATTGTTGGTGTATAGAAAGGATGCTGATTTCTATATATTAATCTTGTATCCTACTACTATGCCAAGACAGTTCATGATTTCTAAGAGTTTCTGGTGGAGTTTTTAGGATCTTTTAGGTATAGGATCATATCATCTGCAAATAGGGATAATTTGACTTCTTCCTTCTCTTTTGAATCCCTTTTATTTCTTGCTCTTGTCTTATTGCTCCGGCTAGTAATTCCAAAACTATATTGAATAGAAATGAGGAAAGCCAGCATCTGTGTCTCCTTCCTGACTTTGGTGGAAATGGTTTCAGTTTTCCATTTAGTATAGTGTGAGCTATATGTTTGTTGTATAACCTTTATTATATTAAGGAACATTCCTTCTATTCTTAATTTCTTCAGTGCTTTTATCATGAAAGGGTGCTAAATTTTCTCAAAGACTTTTTTTGCAAACACAAGATTTTTGTATTAAGAATTATAACTGTGTATGTTAGAAAAGTCTATTTTAAGAGTTAGGGTCCAAATGTTAAGAAAAGTGCTGTGAGTTTACTGTAACCAAAGATTATGGCAGTGTTCAGTCAACTAGCTGTGTTTATTTCATGTAAAACAATGAGAACAGCAGTAATTGTTTTGTGGGCATGATTTAGAATGTGGTGTCATTCAAGAAAGGAGTCGCAGAAAAATGGGTTAAATCAGCTGTCAACTGTTAGTAGTGTTTCCCTTCTTTATCCATTTTCATTCTAAAGCCAATGCGACTGAAGAACTTGCCAAGACACAAAAGCCAGGCATAGAACAATTAGCTGAGTCTTATGCCAACTCCACCTTCTACCGAGAAACCAACACTGAATTAGACAAACTCTCACGGGTTCAGGAGGAGAAGAGCTTGGCCTTCAAGGAGATCACCTGTGTCACCTCCTTCTGTCATCAGCTCAGATGGATTATCTGGCGTTCCTTGAAAAATTTGAAGGCTTTTCCTCGGGTTACTTTACTTCAGGTAACTGACCAATTGTTTTAACTCAACTGCTAAATACTGATGTGGTAGCAATTTGGCTGTATGTGGTGAGGCTCAGATCACTTTTATCTTCTTCCAACCTTCCATTTACTTGTCATTTCACTACATTTGTGACATAGAAAAAGTCAATTGAAAAACAAAAATATAATTAGGTTTTTACTGTGGAAAGTTTCTATTGTGCCTTTTGTTTTCTGGACAACTGGATTCAAAATTTGGGTTGATTTAGAGAAGCTGTAATGGATAATCTGAGAACTTTTTTTCAAAGGTTGTAAGCATTTCAGTCACATTTGGGGTTTTCCATTTTCATTCACAGGCTCGTTCCACAAGTTCAATATAAGATCATGTGTTGCCTTTAGGGACTCCAATACAGTAGTGAACAAAATGTGTAATAACAAATATCTCTACTCTCATGAAACTTATTTTCTCATAAAGGCAAAGAGATGATAACTGAATAAAGAAATAAAATTTATTTATTAGTGGGAAGGATTAGGGAGATTCTCTTCTATCTCCTCCTCCTCCTTTTTCTTCTTCTTCATCCTTTCCTTCTTCTCTTTCGTCTCCTTTTCCTTCTTTTTCTTTTATGCAGTGCTAGGGATTGAGAGTTGCTTCTTCAGTGTGATTTATGGATTGAAGGTTTTTGTGAGACTGAGATTTGAACTTGGGGCTTCATGCTTGCATAGTTGATCCTTTATGGCTTGAGCCACACCTCCATTCCATTTTACTCTGTTATCTTGGAGAATGGATTCTCATCAACTATTTGCCAGGGCTGGTCTTCAACCTCAATCCCCTGGTTCTTGGCCTCCCAAGTAGCTAGGATTATAGACCTGAGCCATTGGCATCTGGCTTGGGTTTTTCTTAGTTGCCTTTAAGAGTAATTTACGAGTGTCATGTTCTAAGAAACTTGAACATTACTTCTGGACAGGTCACAATTAGAACACACTTATTTACCAACACAAGAATCATTCCTGTTTTGGTGGTATGCTTCTTTAGGATGTAAACACCAGACCTAGAGCCTCCAGGTTTCATGTTCAGCCTACCTGCTTCATCAGTGGACTCAATTCCACAGAAGAAATTTCACCAGAAGTAGTCTCTAGAATAAGAGTAGAAGCTCATATTCCTCTGAGTTTAGTGGAACAGCTCTTGTTCAGGTTTGTAAATGCTAAAATGTTAGATTCGGGTAGACAAACCCCTTTTGGTAAAGGCCAGATAGTAAATATTTTATACTTTTCAAATAGTATATGGTCTCTGATTCATCATCAACCCTACCATTGTATTGTGAAAGCAGCTGTAGGTAATAAATAAATAAATTAGCATAGCTGTGTCCCAATATAGCTATAGTCATGGACCCTGAACTTTCAGTTTCACATAAATTCCACATTTCAAGAATTATTTAGCTTGACTTTTCCCATTCTCCAAGCCCTTAAAAAGTATAAAAACCATTCTTAGCTTTTAGGCAGAACAAAAAGAGGTGGCTAGTATTAACTGACCTGTGGGCCATAGTGACTGACTCTGTCATCCTGTGACATGGAGTTTTTAAGTCCAGTATGGTTCTTTTGCTTCTGTAACTTTTGAACATAGGATAATCAAAATGTTACATGGTTTTCTGATGATTTATCTTAGATCTATTTTCTTTAGCTGTACTTTGTTTAGACCAGTTATTTACATGATTCAGACTTGGCTCTAACCAGATTGTATTTGGCAGATCTTGGGATGAATGATCTGTGTGTATAAGAAGATTTAGTGTTCATTCACTGTGTCAAGTGCTTCTTTATCAAATTAATTTAGAAAAACTTATCATTAATTTGTGGAGCTGTCATCATTTCCATTAACATGTGAAGCATTTGATCATGGATTCCTTTTTTTAGTGCAAGCTACAAACATCCCTCAGAACACAGTGGAAAAAAGTGGCAGGAACATATTTGGGGAATTTCTCTTTTAACTTTCTGTTCAAAGTAGATGCCTGGGGGCAGATGCATAAAACTGGCAGATAGTGTCAATTTGCTTAGCTTGATTGGTGGTTTTCTTATCCCTCATTTAAAAAAAAGAAACAATTTCAAAGTTGTAGAACTTTGAAACCTGTAGCTAACATCCTAATAATAATACCGAGAGTGTTAGAACATGATACCATGTTTGAATGTAAAAGACACAAAGAATTTGGAGTGTGTACTTGAAAGACTGAATAGTCTTTAAAATTACACTGTGTAAAAGGTAGCCTCTTATATACCCATGCACACTGCATGTTGGTGGAGCCATCAACATTTATTTTAGAATAAACAAATTTATTCTACTGGAATAAAGTAGAGTATATTCAATAACAATGGGTTGGGTGATGAATTTTCTTCTTAAATTTCTGTCTTATTAACAGAGATTTTAAGGCCATCTCCTAAGTGAAACATTTAAATAATACTCAGTTTAGAGTATGGTGTTCAGAAACAAGTATTTTCTGATCATGATTCTGTTTTTCTACTTTGGCTTGATACTTGCCAAAAATGTCCTTCACAAATTACTTCAGGTCTTGAAATTGCTGTAGTTCTGAGATTTTTAATTTTAATTTTCCAAGGTATGTAGTAGGATATTTTATTTCCTTTAGATTACCATCTCCCACATCTTTCTAATTACCCTAAGAATAATAAGTGAATCTCTCAAATAAGTGACATCATGATGTAATCCTCAACCCCATGTCAATAGAAACATGCTTTAGACACATTTTCTAAAACCAAAAGTGATACTGGTCCAGTGTCCTTGGGAGTCATCCACACAGATTGGGTAGGTGCAGATAGGTGAGGATGGTGAGGATCGGCACCCAGGTGTGCCACGTTGACTGTAGCTGAGGTGGATGGAGAAGCAATGACGAAGGACATGGGTAATGGAGGCACCTGCATGTCCCAGAAGAAGCTGGCTGAATTCTTTGGTGATAGTGATGACAATGCACTTTCCCCATGCAGCCTCCCCAGAGGTTGGCTAGGTGGGGGTCCAGTTCCCCCTACTTCCTTGTCATAAGAAATTACATTGCTAGAAATTGTGTCCTGATTGATTTGAATTTTTATTACTTATTCATTTTGGGGATCTATCCTAGAATCTGGCATGTGCTGTGCAATCTTCATACCACTGAGCTGCATCCTCAGCCTTGAACTATATATTTCTAATGTTTAGATTAAGGGCATCCTGATTTCACTTGAACTTACAAAACTGTACATGTTCCCTGCCAAATAGTTGTCAGTTCAGTCCAGCTGAAAACTTAGCCACTTGGACTTTGGTTCTTTCCCCAAATGACTTCCTCAGGTGCCTGCAGTGCTCTGCTATCCTGAGTGGTCTTGGGTGCCAGCACCTGACCTGGGCCGTGGACTGGCAGTGACTGGTAGAGCACTTGGAGCGGGGAACCTTAGCTTTTCCAGTGTCTGCTCTGTTGTCCTGTCAGCTCCCCAAGCAACAGACACCTTGATTTTCAGTTAATCTAAAACATTCTAATAGCATATACTGTTTTGTATTCTCCAAGGACTCTGGTCAAGCCATTTAAAATGTTTATTTCAGTTGCGAGATCTGATGATGTAGCCATGTATCTTATAATAATAAATGATGTACATTTTTTAAAACTCTAATAGCAACACTTTCATTTCTTATTTTCATTTTTCTTTTTTAAAAAAGACACTTATCACGGTCATACTGGGATTGATTGTTGGTGGCACTTTCAATCTGCTAAAAAATGAATGTACCGAAGTCCAAAATAGGTGAGTAAATTCATATGTCAATTTTGAGAAAATAATGTTACTTTGTTCAAGACTCTAAATATCCATTAAGAATTTGAATTTATGACAAGAACAGAATGCTTGTCTCTGTTTTTGTGGGGGTAGGGTGAGTTAGTGCATCAAGAGTTGAATAGAAAAGCTAATTTTTTCACATGTGGTTTGTGTGTATGTCGTTTTTGACTGTACATAGCACAAGTTTTATGCTCTTAACAATTTTATGCTCTAAACTGAACTTACAATGTTTCAGTGGTGTCAGTACCATCATGTTGTACGAATACCATCTCCATCCAACTGCAGAATGTTTTCCATCTTTCTAAACAGGACTTCTGTAGCCATTACACTGTCCCTCCTGTTACCCACCTCTCCCAGCCCCAGGCAAGCACCACTCCACTTTGTGTCTCTGAACACAAAGCTTCCTCTTTACAAACTTCATATATTGAAGTCATACAGTACTTTTTTGTTTTTGTTTTGTTTGCAGTACTGGTACTTGTACTTAGGGCCTACACATTGGCCACTCCATCAGCCCTTTTACTGTGGTAGGTTTTTTTGAGATAGGGTCTCAAGAACTATTTGCCTGGGCTGTCTTTGAACCAAGATCCTCCTGATTGCTGCCTCTTGTATGGTTCAGATTATAGGTGTGAGCCACTAGTTCCCAGATATACAGTACATTTTTTTTAAGACTGGCTTATTTCTTTTAACACAATGTCCTCATTCAAGTTCTAGCATGTTTTAGAAACTGTTTATTTTTTATGCCTGAATAATAATAACATTTTGCCTCTGCAGTCATCCACCGATGGAAAGTTGAGTTGTTTTTATATTTAGCCAAATCATATAATAATTGTATTAGTTTTTCTAGGACCTGCCATACTGTCTCCACTGCAGTTGTACCATTTTTTGGGGTTTTTTTTGTTTTGTTTTCTTGTTTGTGTTTTGGTGGTAGTTGAATTTGAACTAGGGGCCTTGTGCTTGCAAGACTTGCCTTCTACCACTTGAGCCACATGTCAGCTCCTTCTTGCTTAGGTTATTTTTCTGATAGGGGCTTGCACTTTTTTGCTGAGGCTGGTCTTAGACTAGAATCCTTCTACCTATGTCTCCTGTGTAGCTAGGATTACAGGCATGACCACTATGTCCAGCCGCATATTGCATTCTGACCAGTAGCACACAATAGTCCAATTTCTCCATATACTCACTACAACTTATTGTTTTTTCTTGGTTTAAATAATGGATTTCCATTGAGTCTTTTGTGAAATGTCTTTTCAAGTCTTTTGCCCTTTTTAAATTCAATTTTTTATACATCAGACAAAGGATTGATAACTAGAATATACAGGGAGCTCAAAAACCTAAACTGCCCCCAAATCAAAAAACAAATAAAGATGTGGGCAACTGAACTAAACAGAACTTTTTCAAAGGAAGAAGTCCAGATGGCCAAAAAACACATGAAAAAATGCTCACCATCCCTGGCCATAAAGGAAATGCAAACCAAAAACACACTAAGATTCCACCTCATCCCTGTTAGAATAGCCATCATCAAAAACACCACCAACAACAGGTGTTGGTGAGGATGTGGGGAAAAAGGAACCCTCATACACTGCTGGTGAGAATGCAAGCTAGTACAACCACTCTGGAAAATAATATGGAGGCTTCTTAAAAGATCATCCCATATGATCCAATAATCCCATTCCTGGGATATACCCAAAGGATGCGACTCAAATTATTCCAGAGGCACCCATGTTTGTTGCACTGCTTTTTGCAATAGTCAAGCTTTGGAAATAGCGAAGATGCCCCACTATTGGTGAATGGATTAAGAAAATGTAGTATTTATACACAATGGGATTTTATTTAGTCACAAAGAAGAATGAAATTTTGTCATTCGCAAGTAAATGGATGGAACTGGAGAACATCATCTTAAGTGAAGTTAGCCTGGCTCAGAAGGCAAAAAAAATCGCATGTTCTCCCTCATATGTGGAGTATAGACCTAAAACAAATGCAATAATATTATTGGACATGGGTCACATGCTAAGGGGAGAATGCACACAGGAGGATGGAAAGAGAAGGAAACCTAAAACTCGAATGTGGTTGATGTGCTCACTATAGAGAATTGATACAGCAATCTTAAACTGGCAGAGGCCACCATAAGAATGGGACCAGAAAGTAGTGAAGAGGTCTGGTAGAAATGAATCAATTCGGTTTGTCATACACATGTGCATGGAAGCAATGCTAGGACTCTCTCTGTATAGCTATCTTTACCTCAAAGTAGCAAAAATATTATGGCCTTCATATTACCTCTTACATTTCCGCTTCAACAAAATTGGAGAACAAGAGGGTGGAACAGGTTCTGCCCAGAAGCGGGGTGGGGGGATGAGGAGGCGGTGGTCCAAACTTTGTATATACATGTGAGTAAATGTAAAAATGGTAAAATAAATAAGAATTCAATTTATTCTTTGTAGCGTTAGAATTCTCTATATTTCTGTAACATTCTTTATTAGATACATGACTTACATATATTTTCTCCTGCTCTCTGGGCTGCCTTTTCACCCTGACAGTACCTTTGATGAATAAATGTTTTAAATTTTGATATAGCTAATTGTTTTCTTTTGTTGTTTGCTAGTCAGTTTTCTTGGTATGTCTTGGTTTTTTTGGCCTGGAACTGTGGAGTAAGCACGTAGACTCAGTTTTTCCTAACTGTTATGTGTCAGTGTGTGATCCTTAAGGGATTTCAGTCATGTTTCACCATGAGGCTTTTTAACGTCTGTGTCATGTTCTGAACACAGGCGCTCAGAGAAACATAAGAGGCCTCAAGGTTCTCATTGTAATTTGTGTATTGAGAACCACTCTGCTGGCCCCTGGACTCCATGATTGACGCCCACTGCCTCAAGCTACTTCCCATAAGCCAGAGGAGTGGATGGCGTTATCTCCATTTTTACTATTGAGCAAAATTGAGAAAGCTTATGTTTGATGTCTGCAAGAAAGCTGATTATTCTGAAAGAAAATAATCTACAAGATGCGGGCCTTTTACACTGTGTTGCAGGAAACAATTGAAAAAATGTAGAGAAACCTGTCATGAACTAAATTTTAAAGATGAAATGGAAAGCCAGGCCTTAGTGTTCTTTGTAGTAAAACGCAGAGAAGTAAAGAAGAGCTTTAGCTGTTTCCTCAGATGGTTTCTGGAGAAACTGGGCACTAACTTTTTTTATTTTTTAAATTTTGTTTTACTTATTTAATCTTACTTTAATTTTAATTTTTGATTTACCATTGCTGCCATTGTTAAAGCATTCAGAGTTCTGTGGATAGAAATCCACTTGATAGCACTGAATTCACTGTGTGCTCTGCTCCCATTCTGTCCTGCAGAGCTTCACTGCTCTTTCTGCTGACAGTCTTCCAGTGTATCACCAGCGTGTCTTCTGGCGAGCTCTTCGTGCTCGAGCAGAAGCTCTTTATGTAAGTAGTCCCTGTTCTAGAAGGGCCATTGTTTGCTGTTGACCACCTTGGTCACATCCAGAACTGGGCCTAGGATGCAATCCTGTGGATTGCCACTATTTTCTTGTGCTATATTTCGTTATTTTTAGTTGACAAATATAAATTATATGCACTTATCGCCCACAATATGGGCTTTAGAAGTACGTATAGAGATTACCACTATAAACTGAGTAAAAGCAGTCACGATTCAGATAGAAAATCAAGAACCTGTGGCACCGGCTACTGAGGGAAGGAGACTTTCAAGGTTGGGGTGCATTCAGCAAACTCAGTGTTGCAGAGAGTGCATCAACAGAGGGGAGGGAAAGCATCTTTTGTTTTAGGAAAAAAACAGGTCTTACTAACCCAAGCTAGAAAAGATTGAGGGGTTCAGGAAAGATGAAGTGGTGGGCTCAACATCAAGTTGGAGGCAGGAGGTAAAGTTGACAAAGAATCTGGGCAAGTTTCACCCACAGCGGGTGAAGGAGAGGACAGAGCCAGAGGGCAGCTTTACATCACAGCAAGAGTTGTCTCTTGTGTTTTGCAAACATGGAAGAGCTTTGTCCATATTTACTTGCCAAGGACAGGAATCTTCAGAGAGGGGAAAAATGAAGACACTGGTGGAAGTTTGGAATGACAGTAGAAAGGTATCAGGAAGTGGGCTGGCCATTGAAGAAGTCTTTTTCCTTTTTTGACATGAGAGTAGCAGAAGTAAACAGTGTAGTGACATTAAGCTTTCTTGGAGACCTGGGAGAAAAGTGAGTCACTTTCTTCATAACAGGAAGTGGAGAGGAAAACAATTGCCATTACCCTGAGTTCAGTCCCCAGTGCTATTGTGCAGAGAGCCAGTGTCAGAGGAAAGCCAGTGTGAGTCTATGAGGAGAGTGAGGAGACAGACTCTGTTTTCCTGGAGGGAGCTCAGAGGCCAAAGGAGGGAGGTTTGTGTGGCCAGAGTGTCACAACAACAGCTTCATAGGGATGGTACCAGGAAGGCTGGTGCCTTAGATGGTGAAGGTGTGGGGTCAGCCTGGATGGTGTGGGAACCTGTTCTGTTAAACCTGAGGGGTAGGGCAGCAGAAATCTGTACAGAAAGCATCTCATCTGGTCTGTGCCTTCTGAAACTAATCTGAATGTTTGATGTGTATTTCTGTTTTGTAGACATGAACATATCGGTGCATACTACAGTGTGTTACCATATTTCTTAGGAAAACTGGTATCTGAGTTAATACCTAGGAGGTTACTTCCAAGTATTATAATTACTTCTATGCTATACTTCATGGTTGGTGAGTAACAAAACAAAAAATAAAGATGTCTTTAGTGTTAGACATGAGGGAATCCAGGTTCTCTCTACAAGCATACTCTTGGTTCTCAAAATTACAAACTAAGCCATAAGCTAGGGGAGCATGTACCCATTGCCCACACCTAAAAGGCTGTTCAATGTGGGTATTGTGTCAAGACTTGTTCCCAACTGAACCTTTAAACCTATTTATTAAATTATGTTTTACTGAAAGATGCTATGTGTCATGAATAAATATGAAAAGAATTTATAAAACTATTGAAGACTCTGCCCAGAATACGGAATATTTATTACCTATCTACCTATTTATTTTCCTATGTACATATATCTTTATAGAGATAAAATATAGCTGAGTTGGTGATATCTCTATTATCTACAGGGAGATATATATGTAAAAAAACCAAGCATGCTTACATTCTTTCCCCCTCCAATTCTGTAAAAGAAAGATGTTGACTTGGGGATTGCTGATTTAATATAAATATTGTTGGTGGAGGTAGACAGATTCATATGTAAACTCAGGCTTCACCCTGATGCACTAAATTAGAGTTTCCATATATTTCATTGATGTGCTCACACAGATTCCAGACAGATCTATCTTGACCATAGTGTACAGGAAAACTACCACGGATGGTGCTTAAAACTTTTATTTAATAGAGAAGAGGTGTGTTGTGAAGAATAAGGCATGGAATCTAGACCACCCAGACTCCTGATTAATGCAAATCTTCAGACTGCACAACCCAGACCATTAATTCACTACAACTCTGAACTGGTTTATGAAATTTGTCTTATCTTGGTCCTCAATCACAGAGTTATGAGGTCATTTGCCCAGGGAGGGGAATAATGTTTGTGGGCCTCCTCCACCCCACCCCCCGCCCACAAGGTATTAAAACCACTGTGAGGTCATATCATATGATCCTAATCCCAGTGCCTTCATTACTGTAGTTACAGCAAACACTGGGTGATGTGCAGATGTCCGGGTAGATGAGCGCCTCGTCCTGATGTTTCCTGTCAGAGGAGAAGGCAGCACTGTTTCCTGTAGCTCACCATCGCAGGAACTCAGAGAGTTCATAATTACACACACGGGACACAGGTGTTATATGGAAACGTGCTTTTGCAATAAGCATAAAGAAGAACACTGAGTGATAACTGTACAGCAACAGGGAAGGAAAGAGTGAGACTGGTGACCCAGGGTCATTGGATAGCCAGTGTCTTTGTTCAACCCTGACACTAACATATCAGATTATTATGGATTTATTTGCATAACACACAATCTTGGAGACTGACACTTCTTTTCTTTGTAAGGATCAAACCCAAGCATGATGGCTTTTGTCATTACAATATTTACTGTTTCGATGTTGGGTTTTTCGGCCAGTTCTCTATCACTATCTTTCGGAGCAGGTGAGAATGCAGTGTCTATATCAACACTTCTCGTGACTACCTACTTTGTGTTCATGCTGGTGAGTATGACGTGTATTTCTCTAAGAGGAAATTTTTCCTCATATCCCTTCTGCACATTCATCTATCATGTAAAACCTACTTTGAGAACCTACACCTTGGACTCTGATATTTTCAAGAGATCATACGATGAAATATAGCTTATATTAGAGAAGGAACCAGCTTTCCTCCTAGCCCACAGGCAGCCTTTTCTTTGGCTACTCTTTCATACAGTTAATAACTTAGTTAACACGTCCTTATTAGTGAACTTTTTTTTTTTTTTGCGGTACTGGGGCTTGAACTCAGGGCCTTCACCTTGAGCCACTCCATCAGCCCTTTTTTGTGAAGGGTTTTTTTTTGAGATAGGGTCTCATGAACTATTTGCCCATGCTGGCTTCGAACCACAATCCTCCTGATCTCTGCCTCCTGTGTTGGTGTGAGCCACAAGCACCCAGCCTTCCTAGTGAGCTTATTAAAGACACTTCTTGATGACATATTATGAACCCTTGATAAACTGTAACTTCAAAAACCAGAAAAAATTTGATCAGGCAATTTCCTCCTACAAATGACAGGTTATCTGCCTCCCTTTTGTGCCTATGTGACAGAACTGCTGGATGTATGGGCCCAACAGATAGTCTGGTTGGTGTCACTACTGTCCAGGTGAAAGTGAAGCAGCACAAAAGTGTATGGGGAGTCTATCTTGGATGCTCTTGTATTTTGAGAAAGACTGTCTTAAGAATACTGGGAAATTCCAGAGTGCACAATACTAGGTCATCTCCATTCCGAGTTCCTGACAATTTGTTTTAGCTATCTCTGTAGTCTTTTAAAATACTGGAAAATTCTGCAGTCTACAGTATAAGTTACCTCCTTTCTGGATCAGTGACAGTCTCTTATATCAGTATATTTTTGCTCATTTTTAAATGGTTATTCAGTCCTAATCTTACTTGCTCTAAATTTTGCACTCATGTAGATGAATGAATAGATGAAGGCACCAGTTGTCACCTTTTCCCCTATGAAATCAAGTAAAATGAATGCTTAGCCTATGATGCACAGTATCTTTCTGCTAGAGGAAGAGTAAATGTCTTTAAATGATACATCATTAGCATAAACTCTTTCCAAAATTTAGTTCTTCCATTTCTGCATTTGGTAAATACCAGTGTACATGATTGACATGATGCTGTCTTGTTTATGTTTCCTATATTGTCATTCAGTAAAGGAAATGTCCCTCCTTAAATAAAAATGTTTGCCTCAATTTATTTGAAGTTTTGACTGATTATTATGGACAGAACTTTAAAAACAAGTCATGAAACTATATTTTACTCAGAGGTGCTATGCTATATGCTAAGCACTCGATTAGGTCAAATGTAAATATATGCATACACCCCGCCACATTGTCATTGCTATGCATAGCCAGTGTGCCCAGTATCAGGACAAGTGTATGTGAATCTCCTGGCTTTCCCATGTTAGTCTTGGGCAGTCCTCTTGGTATCTCTGTTGCAATATTGCTTTTTGGTAGCTTTCAACAGAGGTATTGGCCACAGTTTTGCTGTACCCCACCACACTATGCTCTCATCAGTTCTAGGCTTTGGGTTATCTTAAGCCTGCATTCTGCATCCCAAAACCAAATTATCCCTAAAATCATGGAGATAGAGCACAAATCCTCAATAATAACAAACTCATTGTGTTGAAAGAGAGAGATGTATTAACACTCCTGTTAAATGTTCCTAAATTGCCAGGTTTATTAGGGAGAACAGGTGGGAGTACAGCTGGCCCACCTTGATCATGTGTTCTGCATCCATAGAATCAGCCAACTACAGATCAAAAATATATAAAACAAAGATCATGGTTTGTACTGAATATGTAGTTTTTCTTTTCTTGCCATTATTCTCTAAACTCTACAGTGGTATCTACAGATTTTGCTATGTGTGTGGGAGGTCCTAGAAGCAATCCCCCTTCCGCTGCAGGCAATAACAGAGAAAGCTGAAGGCAAACTTTAAGGATTTCCAAAATAAGTAGAATAAATGATGTGGCTTATACACATATTTTTCTTTTTTAAAACCAAAAATGGCCTTTGCTACACAGAAGTATGTACCTGCATGAAGAAAATTAGCATCTGAGTAAGTTGAAAGAATTTCAGAAGAGTTCGTCCTAACAGAATTGCCCATCAGGTTTTAGATCCTCATGAAATCATTGGTCCAGTTCTGATTTTTGGATTTTGTTTTTTGTAGTACTTTTTAGGTCTGTCACTGTTTTTTGGAACCATTGTGCCTGGGCTATCGTGGCTTCAGTACTTCAGTGTTCCTTACTATGGTTTTACGGTAAGCAGTCCTCATCTGTCACTATGACTGGGTTTCCAAGCTGGACACCACCAAAAGAAAGCCTTACTGTGTCAGTTCCCTGCCACAAGTGGGAAAGCCTTCCATCCAGGAATTTCCTTTCAGGAACAATGGATGAGTATTTCCTGTGAGCCTGGGTTAGCACAAGGTCAGGAGTCATCTGAGGTTTCCCCCAGGCACCCGGTTGTTTGAGGAAGATGAAGGGTCAGAGAAATCTCATAGGAAAGGGGAAATTGACTAGTTGATGGAAATCCTTGTTGTGTTTCAGGTCAGTAAGAAAATAAGTGAGAGGATGGGAGACTAGAATGCATATCTGAAGAGAAATTAGAAGAGAAACAAACATCTAATACAGCCATATTGGCTTTAGCAAACTAATCTCTAAAGTAAACTGTGTGTGTCTTAATACAGCAAAACTCAGTTTCTGGTTCCCTTAATTTCAGCTGGTTTTGGTGAAAACAAAGAAGAAAACATCATTATGATAAATCAACAATGTCCATTGGATACCATTATAACATTTTAATTGTAGTATTTGTGGGATTATAAAATTGGGGGGTGGAGGGGAAGCTGGGAGAAGGAAGGAGCTCTGCGGTAATCTGCCCAGAGGTTTCCCTTCTTGGGCAATTAAGCAATATCCTAACCCTAGGCCTCTTGACTGCCTGGGGAAATAAACTTAGTATCTTAGCTGCTTTGATGGAGCAAAGACTATGACTATGAAACATGGTGTGTTTTTAACAATAAAGATTAAGCTTGAAGGTAGAATTGTTTCTTCTTTGGAAACTTTTAAACTGTTTATCTTGCCCTGCTCCCCCTGTGTTACAGGCTTTGCAGCATAATGAATTGTTGGGGCAAAACTTCTGTCCAGACCTTAATACAGCAGAAAGTAATAGCTGTCCAAACTATGTAATGTAAGTTTGTGTTCAATGTCCTCTTGGGTTTGCTTACCATTTAGTGTGATGTAGAAAGGTCCCTGGGCCTACAACTGGTACCAGTGAGTTCAGGGTCAATAACCTTTCTGTGTCTAAGTTTTCTCAACTGTAAAGTGAGTCACTGTGCCCTACTGCATGTGTGCATGCTGTACTCCTGTTCTTCTACAGTAAAAATCATACACAGTATATAGAAATGTTTCCTTTGGGCCTTGTGAAAGATCACTTTGATATTTTAATTGTAGGTTTCAGTGCTTACTTTTCAGAGTATTTGAGTTAGAAAAGAGCTGCTTTGATAGTTTAGCAAGGGCTTGAGGTCTCTGAACTGCGTGGTTTAGATGTTGCCTCTGAGCCCAGCCTGTGGACAGCAGTGACAGCTGAAAGGCAGCAAGAGCACAAAGCGGGTGGACATCGCCTGTCAGGATGCAGGCACTTCCCTCTGCCTCCTCCCTTTGAGAGAATGCAGGAAATCAAAGCCGTACAGCTGTGTGTGTGTGTGTGTGTGTGTGTGTGTGTGTGTGTGTGTGTGTGTGTGTATTTAAGCTATCCTGGGACACTCTCTCTGAGAGGATGCATTCTCTAAAGAAAGAAACACATATTTCAGGAAGTTGAGAAGAAAACTTGATTTTTCCTTAATATCACTAAAACAGAAATGCAGGTCCTAATAAAATTAGAAAATCTTGTTTTAAAATGTTAATATTGTTCTATGATTGTTAATGTTTTGATTTTGATACATAAACTAAAAAGAGAAAAGAGAATGCTATTATCCTAAATCCTCAATTCTTAAATAATATTAAATAATTCTAATGATGTAACAGATCTCTGTTGAGTTATTCACAGGAAACACCTCTGTGAGAAGGGGTTTGCTTTACACTGCCCGTTCCCTTGGGTTTGATCTGGGCATGACATCTTTGTAACACAAAGTCCCTGCCAGCTTTCTGTACAAGAAGAGGTTGACAAGACAAATGGGACCAGATAAAGAGGAGCCACCAAGGACCAATCACTCCCATGAGGCTTATCCTCACAAGATGGAGGAGAGGCCATGGCAGGTTTTGGGATCACTAAATCCCAAGAGATGCATATGAAAGGCAGCAGGCAATAAATGTGTCTGTACCTGGTGGTTTTAGTACCAGGTGTGTTTCTGGCCTGTGGCAGGCCACTCCATCCTGCTTTGCTCCAGCTGCTGCCTGAGTTTAATCTGATACCTGGTTTGCTGGTGACTTCCTATAGCTGAGCATCTGTGATGCTCATTGGAGGCTTGGAGTGAGAGCTGACAGAAAGTGATTGTGGCTGATGCCCTATGCCCTTCTCCCCACTGTGCCTAGGTTTAGAATTCTTAGTCAGTGTTCTATGCATGGCTGACCTGTGAGTGAGCAGAGCCACAGAGAGTATTGATGATCTTCAGGAGGGCCTTACGTGTCCTTAGTTAAAGCTGAGGTTTTCCCCATCAAGAGGAAGTAAAAAGTTAATTGAAAAATTTTCTCCCTTTGCAGAGTGCAGCATTATAGATTTGTAAATGAATGAATCTGAGGAGCTTAAAACTTGGTTCACAAGGTGACTGTGAACTTGGCCAAGTTCCTTAGGCCTCCTTTCCCTCCTCTTCTAAGTGTGTATAATATCTGTGTCAATTTGGATGATTTTAGAAATTAACTGAATATATGACAAACCTACAGCCAGTATTATACTTAATGGAGAAAAACTGAAACCATTCCCTCTAAAATCAGAACTAGACAAGGATGCCCACCACCTCCACTCCTAGTCAACATAGTCCTGGAATTCCTAGCCAGAGCAATTAGGCAAGAAGAAGGAATAAAAGGAATACAAATAGGTAAAGAAATTGTCAAAATATCCCTATTTGAAGACAATATGATCCTATACCTTAAAGACCCAAAAAACTCTACTCAAAAGCTCCTAGACACCGTCAATAGCTATAGCAAAGTAGCAGGATATAAAATCAACATAGAGAAGTCATTAGCATTTCTATACACTAATAATGAACAAACTGCGAAAGAATATATGAAAACAATTCCATTTACAAAAGGCTCAAAAAATATCAAATACCTAGGTGTAAACTTAACAAAGAATGTGAATGACCTCTACAAGGAAAACTATAAACTTCTGAAGAAGAGATTGAGGAAGACTATAGAAAGTAGAGAGATCTCCCATGCTCATGGATTGGTAGAATCAACATAGTAAAAATGGCTATACTCCCAAAGTAATCTACATGTTTAATGCAATTCCCATCAAAATCCCAAAGACATTCATTAAAGAGATTGAAAAATCTACCATTAAATTTATATGGAAACACAAGAGGCCATGAATAGCCAAGGAAATACTCAGTCAAAAGAACAATGCAGGAGGTATCACAATACCTGACTTCAAACTATATTACAAAGCAATAACAATAAAAACAGCATGGTACTGGCAAAAAAACAGACATAAAGACCAGTGGAACAGAATAGAGGACCCAGATATGAAGCCACACAACTATAACCAACTTGTCTTTGACAAAGGCACTAAAAATATACCATGGAGAAAATACAGCCTCTTCAACAAAAACTGCTGGGAAAACTGGTTAGCAGTCTGCAAAAAACTGAAACTAGATCCATGTATATCACCCTATACCAAGATTAACTCAAAATGGATCAAGGATCTTAATATCAGACCCCAAACTCTGAAGTTGATACAGGAAAGAGTAGGAAATACTCTGGAATTAGTAGGTATAGGTAAGAATTTTCTCAATGAAACCCCAGCAGCACAGCAACTAAGAGATAGCATAGATAAATGGGACCTCATAAAGCTAAAAAGCTTCTGTTCATCAAAAGAAATGGTCTCTAAACTGAAGAGAACACCCACAGAGTGGGAGAAAATACTTGCCAACTTATATCAGACAAAGGACTGATAACCAGAACATATAGGGAACTTAAAAAACTAAATTCTCCCAAAAGTATTGAACCAATAAAGAAATGGGCAAGTGAACTAAACAGAACTTTCTCAAAAGAAGAAATTCAAATGGCCAAAAAACACATGAAAAAATGCTCACCATCTCTAGCAATAAAGGAAATGCAAATTAAATCCACACTAAGATTCCACCTCACCCCTGTTAGAATAGCCATCATCAGCAACACCACCAACAACAGGTGTTGGCAAGAATGTGGGGAAAAAGGAACCCTGTTACAATGCTGGTGGGAATGTAAACTAGTACAACCACTCTGGAAAAAAATTTGGAGGCTACTTAAAAAGCTAAACATTGATGTACCATATGATCCAGCAATACCACTCTTGGGGATATACCCAAGACTGTGACACAGGTTACTTCAGAGGCACCTGCACACCCATGTTTATTGCAGCACTATTCAAAATAGCTAAGTTATGGAAACAGCCAAGATGCCCCACCACTGACGAATGGATTAAGAGAATGTGGTATCTATACACAATGGAATTTTATGCAGCCATGAAGAAGAACGAAATGTTATCATTCGCTGGTAAATGGATGGAATTGGAGAACATCATTCTGAGTGAGGTTAGCCTGGCCCAAAAGACCAAAAATCATATGTTCTCCCTCATATGTGGACATTAGATAAAGGGCAAACACAACAAGGGGATTGGACTTTGATCACATGACAAAGCGAGAGCACACAGGGAGATATGAGGATAGGTAAGACACCTAAGAACCTAGATGGCATTTGTTGCCCTCAACGCAGAGAAACTAAAGCAGATACTTTAAAGTAACTAAGGCCAACAGGAAACTGGAGACCAGAAACAAGAAAAGGTTATTTTGAGAAGAATTAACCTAGAAGGTAATACACATGTACAGGAAAGCAATGCAAGTCAATTCCCTGTATAGCTATCCTTATCTCAACTAGCAAAAACCCTATTCCTTCCTATTATTGCTTATACTCTCTCTTCAACAAAATTAGAGGTAAGTGCAAAATAGTTTCTGCAGGGTAGCGAGGGATGGGAGGGTTAGGGAGGGAGTGGCGGGGGGTAAGAAAGGGGCGAGGAAAGGGGGAGAAATAACCCAAACATTGTATGCAGATATGAATAAAATAAAAATTAATAAAAGAAAGAAATTAACTGAGCTTTAGATGCAAGTTGCTTAGCATGGCATCCACCAAAGTTGTAAGCACCAGTGACTGTGGATGAAGGAATGATTATTAACGATGTAGTTAACCTAAAGACTTTTAAATAAGACACAGTGAATATACTGAGTACGATGTGACGTATGCTAGGAATGGAGTTACATTTTCGTGTGTTGAATTGCAGATGTACTGGTGAAGAATTCTTGAGAATGCAGAACATCGATCTCTCACCTTGGGGCTTGTGGAAGAACCACGTGGCAATGGCTTCCATGATGATTATCTTCCTCACAATCACCTTTCTACAATTGTTATATTTTAACAAGAACAATCTTGGGCTCGGTGTGCGGCTCAAGTTGTAGAGAGCCTGCTTGAAAACACGAGACCCCGAGTTCAAATCCTGGTACTATCAAAGAAGAAATTCTTAAATTCCTATTGAATTTGCTATGAATTACCCTTAATAATGAGCGCTTTGATTTATTTTAAGTATCTAATGAAGATATTTTTGTTAACTTCTGTTTAATTGCTATCGCACTACGGTTCAGCAATGATCATTTTCCAACTGAACCATTCACAACAAAGTCATTACAGGTAAAAGAATCTGAGTTAAAGCCTAATATGTATCAGTTCAAGTTGTCAGACAGTAACCCTGAGAAATAATCCAGTCTAGTTTGTTGAGTCATGAAAGGAGAATGGAGTTCTAGAAAGTGTCGACAAGTTACTAATGGATCTGGCATCAGTTTCCTCATCTTTGGAATGATTGGGTCGGCCCCTATCCCTCCAGATTTAATAGTCTATGAATCTGTGATCTGCCATTGTGGAATAAATGATAATCTATTAATGCTGTATGAATGAAATCTGTATGTCAGAAAAAACAATGTGATTTCTAGGATGAAAGAAGTCCTGCTGATAGAAAACAGTGTCTCTGATAAGCTTGTTGTTGTTGGTAGAACTTGCTGATACTTTTCAGGAACCTTGACTGGAGCTCTGGTCTGCAGGTACAGTAGAAGGCCAGGGTCTGGTGATATGGTTATTGTACCGTTTCTGGGACATTGCAGTCTGAAGTGTCACTTACCTCACAGGGTATCTCAGTGGTAGATAATAGGGCCCCTGAACCTTCTGAGGAACTTGGCTAAGATGTCCTCCATGGAGAGCTGACCACTTTGGATTTGCAAATTTCCAAGGTCCTCACTGGCTAAGAAAATCTTAGAGCATGTTTCAAGAACTATTATTTTTGTCCTTGCTAGTTCCCCCTGCTGCTTGTACATCTCATTTACATCCCTAAGTTCTCTTCATTCTAACCTTTACCAAAATAGAAAAATCTTTACCACTAATACTTTTTTAAATGAAGGGTAGGTAATGTAGCAAAAAGTACAGTTCAGTGAATTACCATAAAATGAAGACACATGTATGACCCCTACTCCCAGGTCAAGAAATCAAACATGACCAGAACATGGAAGCCTTCACTTCCTCTTCCCAATCACTACTTCCTCCTGTCCCCAGGGGTTGTTTCTGAAATGACGCTGTGTATTGCTCTCTGTTGCTATTGTCAGAGCATCAGTACAGTTCAATTTTGTGTTCTTATGTACACAGGTGTATATTTATGTCTCCCTAACCCTTTTTTAATGAACTTTGAATTTCCAAATAATTTAATATCTGCAGAAAAGTTACAGAGATAATGTGAACAGTTCCCATGTGTCCTCTGCCCAGGTCTCCTTAATGTTAACATTTTATATACCAAGGTCCATTTGTCAAAGCTATGATAAAAACATTGGGACACTGCTGGTGACTGCACTGTAACTTTGTTCACATTCCATCAGTCTTCCACTCATATTCTTTACTGTTTTCGGATCCAATTCAGGAGGTCATATTGCATGTAGCTCCAGTATTTAAAAGAAAATTCTTATAGGAATTATGGGAGCTGGGAGATCATCAGATATGGACTTTGGAGGTCTTCAAATATCTTTGACCCCATCAGTGGGTGCCCTGTAATGTTGTTGCAGCATACCGGTTTCTTTGAGATATTTCCTTTGGTGTCTCTCTCTCTCTCTCTCTGCTATTGCCTTCCTTAACACACCTCCCAAATAAAGTGTCAAACTATGTCCTTGTCTTGGCTTTCTTTCCTAGGAACATGGACTGAAACACATTCAATTTAAAACCAGAAACAATGTGTCCACTGTGACTGCAACTTCCCAACTCAGTACTGTCCTTATTTACACATAAGATTTCTATAGATAACACGAAGAATCAACACAAATTCTGAGTTACTAAAGAAGTTTAAAAGTGCCAAATGTAAGGTTACTGTATTTGAAATTATAATTTTCCCTTATTATGCAAGTAAATATTATAATGAAAGACAAGATTATGTTCGACAAAATCTAGTAAAATTTTATTATCCTGAAATATTCATGAAATTATTGGGGCAAAAAGTTCGTATTAATAAATGCATAACTGCTTTAAGAAACTTTAGCAAACATTTAAAGGATGTAAAGGAAGATCTGAATCAGTGGAGCAGTACCATATTTTTGATATTGTTAATATGTAGTTCTCCCCAAATACATCCATCAAACTTGTTTTTACATTAACGTGGATAAACAAAGGTTTACAAAAATAGAAGGTAAAAAGTTCACAACGAGACACACACAGATGTGAGTCTGACATTTATCAGTAATACCATGAAGTAGTGAGGAAAATGACGATTTAATAGAAAATGTTTATGAAACTAACCTTATATGGAGAAACTATCCATGAACTTCATGCAAATTTATTTATTTTTAGCTGTACTGGAATTTGAACTCAGGGTGTTGTTGCTTGCTAGACAAGTGTTCTACCACTTGAGTTATGCCTCCAGTCCTCTTCAATGTTACTTTTAACTTGTATTAAATGTGAAAGGTAAAACCATACGATCAATATATAAGAATTAAAAATCATGAAGGTCTATTTAAGAATCCCTAAAACCCAGTAATGCAAAAAATTGATTGATTTTATTATGTAAAACTGAAGAAAACACTGACAAAGTTATCAGATATTAACAGGGTCAAAACTGGTAAAGGAATAATTCTTAAACCATACAAAAAAGTTTTAATAAATCAATGAGGTCTCATTTTAAATCCATTCCATCAGGAAAACCGATGTGTGGGTACCAAGGCTAGTGAGTGATGCGAGACCTGTCTTTCCTGCATGGGGGAGTTGTAGCACTGGGAACTCATCTGCGGAGGGCAAACCTGACAGCTGTTGGGGTGAAAGCCTATTGGTTCACTTGGGTCTCAGCACTCCATCCCGTATTATGTGGCCTAGGAGGAACACATGAAAACCAACACGGGGTAATACGTATGGTGTAAAGATTTGGAAAGGAGGCATTAGAGCCAAAGAAATGATCGTAAAAGATGCTGCCTGGATGGAAGAATTATGACCCTATCATCAGGAATAACTTGTTACACTACATAATACAGAACCAGATAGCCCTTAAAAATTATATGTAAGGAAAAACAGTTCCTAGTAACATATAGTATACATGTACATTACTTTTATATTTATAATTGCATTTATTTAAAACATGAAACTTTTTTTAACATATTACAGAATTATCAGAATGTGGTAGTCTGGAGTTGGGAGAACAAAATTATTGTGGTGGGTAAGATAAAATGTCTTAAATTTTTATTGGAGAGTGGTATTGAGAACAGATGACACCGATGCTCAAAATACAAATTGTGGGCCAGGCATGGTTGTGCACATCTGTAATCCAGTTACTGAGGAGGCAAGAGGCAGGAGGATTTAAGTCCATGGCTGGCCCAGGCAAAGTACAAAGATTCCTATCTAATAAACAAACTAAGACAAAAAGGGCTGGGGCATGGCTGAAGTGTAAAGCCTTTTGCCTGGACAGCACAAGGCCGTGAGGGTCATCCCAGTATCACCCAGAAAAGAAATATCTATCTGCCTTATACTATATATGTAATATAATGTTATTAATGTTAGATGTCTTGCATATATATTACCATATGAATAATTTAACATATATATGTTAAGTTGATATGCATTAGAATGCATTATACTGAAATCTTTTTAATAGTTTTATTATATTTTGAATTAGTTATACATCAATTATCATAACAAGAATAACACTTGGGGTTTCATTGTGTAATTCTATAATGTGATAGTGTACTCTGAACAAGTCACTCCCTCCATTATAGTCCTGTTCTTCTCCTCCCTCCTATTTTTACAGTGTTTGGTGGGTTTCCACTTATCTATCTTCAAAACACATACGTGTAGCATATGTTTGGTTCTGTTCCCCTGTCAGTATCTTTTTCCTTTTCCCTTCCCCCTCCCATATGATTCCCCCCCCCCCACTCTTGCCCTTCTCACCATTTATGTTCCATTAGTGTTATTATTATCATTTTCATTTAAAGTAACTAGGTTCCACACATGAGTGATAACATTGCCAATATTGGGGTTTTTTGAGCTTGGGAGATCTCTCTCAGCCGATGATCTCCAATCCCATTTAGTTTTCCAGTAATGAACATAATTTTACCAATTGTGTTTCTCTTTATGGTTGAGTAATACTCCACAATTTGTGCATTTGTGTTATATATTTTTTTATCATTTATGCATTCATTTGTTTGTTGGGTACCCAGCTTTATTCCAAGTTTTTGGATTATTTGAAAACAGAGGTGCGTAAACATGGGTTTGCAAAGTATTCTCTCTTGTTTACTGATTTACACTGGTGCAGGTTGATGCCCAAGATTGGTAAGGCAGGTCATAAGGCAGTCTATTTTTCTTTTTAGAGGAAACCTACTGTTTCACAGTGGTTGTACTAATTACATTCCCAGCAAGCAGTGTTGATATAAGGGTTCCTTCCCCCATTTTACTCCAACTTCACCAGCAATTTGTTTGATTTTCTTGGTCTCTGGGTGATTATGGAATCTTAGTTAGTGTTTTTTGTTTTGTTTTGGGTTTTTTGGTTGTAGTGGGGTTTGAACTCAGACCGTCACACTCACTAAGCAAGCTCTCTACTACTTGAGCCATTTCTTGCCCGACCTGGTTTTTGAGATTAGGGCTCTCATAAATATTTGCCTGGACTGACTTCACCGATGGATTCTCCTGCTCTTTGTCTCCTGAATAGCTAGGTTTATAGCATGAGCTACAGCACCTGGCCTTAGTTGTTAGTGTTAAATTTACATTTCCTTTTATGAGTAAGAGATGAATTTCTTCTGAGAACTGTCTTTCAAAGTTGTTTACTCATTTATAATTATTTGGTTTTTTTTTGCTGTTTAGTTTTTTGAGCTCTTTTATATTCTGTATTATTTACTTAGCAGGAGTAATTAAAAGAAGGAGGTTAAAATAAATCACCAGTAGAATTAGTCTGTATACGAGAGACAGGAAAATTGAAAAAAATGGAAAAGCAAGGCAAAAAATAACAATATAAAAGAGATAAATTACAACTTTAATTTTTTTTAAAGTCACTATTTGTTCCTTGTTGAGAGGAGTAAGTGTCTGCTGGCCTGCCTCAGTACATTGGATGCTCCCCTCCGGTCTCTGGTCCTCAGATCTTTGTCTGCAGGTCTCTGGTTGGGTTTACTTACTGTTCCCTCAGGGCCCTGGACTGACCAAGTATAGCAGGAGTGGAGGAAGAGGAGGGTTCAGGAATAGGGCTGCTACTGGGGTGAGATGGGAAGGCTCCAGGCTTATGTGTGAGCAGCTGAGGGTGGATGGTAGGGTTTCTGAACACAGCTCGTGGATCAGTAAGCACCCAGTGGCTGGCTACTCTAGCTTATCTGCAAGGAGCTTTTTCTTCTTTTCCATCTAGGCTTCCAGTTTAATGTTTCATTTGAGGAGGAGCAAAGAGCTGTCACTTGTGTGTAAATGCTCAACCCAACTGCTGGGTTGAATGGTGGGTTAAGGGCTCCATAGCTAGCTAATCAGCTAGCTTAGGCACCCTCACTGTCTTGGGACAGACTAGGATGCTGTGTTCTATCAGACTGACTGCCTGCTTCCTGCGATTCTTGGGATAGAAATCTTGGGCTGAGCAGCTTCACAGTACCTGCTGGTAGAGGTCGCCCACGGGGGACTTTCATCAGCACACTGAACCAAAGGTTTTCTAGAGTGTGATGTATGCTGTGATGTGATGTCAGCCTGTGTGCTGCACTGGCCCTCAGGTCTGAACCAGTTTACCCTGCTGGCAGTGTCAGGCAGCCTTTTCTGCACCTGGGTTTGGGCTTAGATGCCCTGGGCCTCTCTGTCCAGTGGCCCACTGAACAAGACTTGACGACCTGCTCTTAGCCCTCTGTGCAGTTGTTTTGTTCACAGGATGGCCCTAACAAATAGCTCTTGTGGGAAGCAATTCAAGTCCAGACAAGGAAACAAGGACAACAACAAACCCCCCAAACCAAATAACCCTGGGCTGGAAGGGCATGAGATAGAGCAGACCCAGATCCACGCGGATCTGTGCTGTTAAGAGGTTTGGTTAGAGATGGACATCTGTATCTGCTCTCTGTCCTTACACTAGTGCCCTCTTTTAGTTACTAACTTACCCATCTCTCCTTGCAGCCATGTGCTCGAGATTTTATTTCAGAATTGTGGAGACATGATTGCCTCTCAGCAATTAGTCATCTTGAACTTTTCCTTTCTTAGAAACCTTAATGACAAAAAATTAGTGACCAAGAAACTGCTTTGGTTTATATTAATATTTTGGACATATTCAAAAGAAGGATATCTAAATAAAATAGGACACTGTTGGCCTTGATAGAAACATTTTTATTTTGGACTCAAAATGAGACTTGAAAGACTGTTTTCCAACCTTTAAAAGCACACCCTTTTATCTAACAGAAAGCAAGTGTTTTGCTCAGATAAAAGACAAAATATTATTTTGCATTCCATATGTGTTCCAAAGTTTTCTTTTTTCTGAAGTTCAAATCTAGACCCAGATAAATAGACAAAGACTAGTGACTCTATGTCCGAAAGTGTACATTCACTTCAAAGGTATGATCAGATTTGTTTGATAGAGGAGACTGATCCGGATAAAGAAAAAAATTAACGTCATTGATATTAATTCAGTACATCTCTTTAGAAAGGAAGTTCATAGGCACTTGGGTTTTCTGGGAGTGCTGGCTACCTCCTGTACCTACAGAATATTGCATTTCACAAAATTGTTTTCTTTCCAAGCTCCTTGATAGCTTGTAACTGTGATTCATCAGTAGAAAGAGCTCATATTTTCAAATAACTCTTAACATGATCTGCATGCCTCCTGGGTGACCCAACACCCCCAAGGTTTCCTCAACTTGGCAGGTCCACAGTGACAGGTGTTGTTCATGCAGTCTCCCAGCTTCTGGGGGCACTGTAGCTCCAGTGCCTAAGGCCACCCTTTCAGAGAGATGCTCTTGCTTTAGTGCTTATGTTGTGTGATAGGGACCATGAATCATTTTAATTACGTCTTGGGTCTACTCTTTACCAATAGCATTAAATATTTCCTTCGATCACCTCACAATCAGCAGCAAGCACAAAGCCCTGGATTCAAATCCCAGTACCACCAAGTAAATAAATAAAAAGAAATTGAAAAAATGAATAAATTAAAGTAAAAATAAATAGGTTTGCGGAAAAAAAATATTCCCTGTGTTGGCAGGTGAGCACTCACATAATTTGCGGTCTTGTATAAATTGGCAAAAAAGGTTTTAAAGAGTTGTTTGACAATTTGGGTCAATACCATGTATTCATACTGATTAACCGAACTGTTACATTTCCACATGTTTCCCCTCCACCTGTAAAGAAATAACCACAGCGAGGAGACCAAATGGTGGATAGCTGAGGAATCCTGGGAACCTGAGCTCTATGATTTCAGAAAAATACTACTGATGGCAGCAAGGATCAGGTAACCCTGCTTTTTTTGTTTTTTTGCCAAATAAGATACTGCTAATACATAGGGTACACATACTGTTCAATGACCAACCCTTAAATTAGCTTTTTATACCATATAACAGCCGGGGAAGCTGGCAATAAGACTGGCAGCAGCTACCAGTTCACCTACTAGAAAGTTGTTTTTCCTTTTTGGCTTCTTTTTCCTGTCTTGGAAAAGTACAAATGCAATACAGAGAACTGTAGAATGAATCCTACAAGCATTTGGGACATCCTGGACTGCTCAGACACAGAACCACAGACTCCTGCTACCAGTGTCGACCTGGAGCTGACCCAATTCTACCCAAGTGAATCTGCAACCCTGTAAGTAGCACAACACTTGGAGGGAACCACAAGGTTCAGTGCAGCTGGTGGACAGATTGCACCCCCCTGAACAAAACTGGGGGTCAAATAAACAGAGGGAATATTTCACCTCTGAATGGTGGGGGTGGAGTGGAAAACTGAACTGACCCAGCTTATATGGGAGCAGGGCAGGCCAGCTGCATTCTGGTGAACACATGGACCACCCTGGAAAAACAGAAAGTGAGCTGAAACTGATAGACTTCCCAGAGAAAAACCATCCACCAAAACAGCTTAATTCTAGCTCCCAGGCTTGCCTTCTACTCAGCAAAGCTATCATTCGAGATTAGAGGAATAAAGTCTTCCATGATAAACAGAAGCTAAAACAATACATGACCACTAAATCACCACTACAAAAGATTCTGAAAGGACTCCTACACACAGAAGATGAAAATGATGGGAATTATTAAACCTCAAGAGAAGAGCAGACAGGTAATCAGAGAATAAACAGAATTACTTGCATACACACAAACCTTTACACAACAAAAACAACTAAGTGACAGGAACCATGTTAGGACCAGACCACCTCCCCCTACGCAGATGACTTACTAGAAACTCCCCACTCAACCCCAAAGACTGACAAAGAGACAATTGGTAACCTTCATCTCCCTGGATGGATGCCAAGGACAGTTGAGCAGACAGTGACCTAACTACAACTTACCTTTCTTGGTTGCCCAGCAACGATATCCCTTAGTGACCTTCCTGGTACTTTTCCACTAGCCCCCTATATCTAGCCCAAGCCTGTGTATGGCAATGGGCTCTAGCTCTCTTGCTGGGGTTCCCCTCCACAGGCCTCCTGCCTAAACAATAAACCCTGTACTGGTGTTTGAGCCATCTCTCTGCCTCCTCCATACCTCTTATTTTCTAACAGTTTATGTAAAATTTTCTAGATAACCTCTGTTGTCTAGGGTGATTCTAATACATTCGGTACCCTATATGTATCTGTGACTGAGCTACTTGGGTTTACTAAAATTGATCTTCACCCTTATAACTGATAAAAATCTAAGGTTTTACTTCAAGAACAACAACTAAACTAATATGTATATATAACCTCTACAGAGCAGTGATGCTATTGCTGGTTTCTTATACTAAACATATTTATGTTTTTCAAGTATATCAAGCCTTCTAAAATACAACATTTAGGTAAACACAGTAACAAAAAGTTAATGGTACTGATATACTGTTCTGTTAGTTGCTAAATTGTCCATCAAGGTTTTAACCATGGCTCTTTTAAGTTTTTGTCATTACAGTTCTGATCCTTCTGGGACATTTACAATCAAGTCCATTTAAAAAATGACTCTAATAACTATGTATCAACTAGGTTAGCTTTTTAGACATCTGCTTTTGTCAGATTTTGTTTTGTATTGTTGTTGACTAAAAGCCCATTGCCTAAGAGCCACTCCTTCTAAGCCTCTTTGTTGCTTAAATTGGGCCAAAAGGGTCAAGTTATCACTGACTCCCACTTGATCTGCTCGTTATTTCCCTCCCAACATGGGACCAAAACCAAAGAAACAAAATCCAGGAATAAGCAAATCCTCACGATAAAGAAAGAAAATGAACAATCAAGAAAGATCTTCAGTCTATGGCCATACCACCCTGAGTGTGCCTGATCTCGTCTGGTCTTGGAAGCTAAGGAGGGTCAGGCCTGGTTGTTACTTGAATGGGAGACAAATCTGCAAAAGAGACTGCTCAGAGACAAACAGTTTGAAGACAATGGGGGAATGCAGTCAAAGTTCAAATGGAGTCACTCATGCCAGACTTTTTAAAAATAACCAAGGCCAAGAGGACTGAGGAAGTGGTTCTTATACATGCTAACCACCTGGCATTAAATCCCTTCCAGACACAAACTCATATATATTTTTTTTTAAGTGATAAAGAATCCAAAATTTATTGAGCAAGGACGCCATACCAGGTGCTTTACTATGCTTACTATGTTTAACTCTCACAGTTGCATGGATATGGTAATTTATAGATGAGAAGACAGGCTCAAAGAAAACCAGTAACAGCACAGCATCACACCTGTAGAGCTGTTTCCCACAGCTACCTCACTCCCAAGCTGGTGTTCTTTCTACTCTTTTTTTTTTTTTTTTTATCTCTCTGTAGGGAATTTTTTTTTTATTTATGTGGGCATAAAACGTTTGGGTCATTTCTCCCCACTTAGCCCTGCTCTCTCCCTAACCTCCCCACCCCCTCCTTACTCCCTCCAACCCCTTGCTACCAGGCAGAAACTATTTTGCCCTTATGTCTAATTCTGTTGTAGAGAGAGTATAAGAAATAATAAGAAGGAACAAGGGTTTTGCTGGTTGAGATAAGGATAGCTATACAGGGAGTTGACTCGAATTGATTTCCTGTGCATGTGTGTTACCTTCTAGGTTAATTCTTCTCGAACTAACTTTTTCTCTAGTTCCTGGTTCCCTTCTCCCATTGGCCTCTGTCGCTTTAAAGTGTCTCCGTTAGTTTCTCTGCACTGAGGGCAACAAATGCTCTTTAGTTTTTTGGGTGTCTTATCTACTCTCATATCTCCCAAGTGTGCTCTCGCTTTATCATGTGATCAAAGTCCAATCCCCTTGTTGTGTTTACCCTTGATCGAATATCCGCATATGAGGGAGAACGCATGATTTTTGGTCTTTTGGGCCAGGCTGACCTCACTCAGAATTATGTTCTCCAGTTCCATCATTTACTTGCGAATGATAACATTTCATTCTTCTTCATGGATGCATAAAATTCCATTGTGTATAAATACCACATTTTCTTAATTCATTCATCAGTAGTGGGGCATCTTGGCTGTTTCCATAACTTGGCTATTGTGAACAGTGCTGCAATAAACATGGGTGTGCAAGTGCCTCTGGAGTAACCTGAAGACACAAACTCATATTTTTAGACAGAGTCTTCTACTTAAAGACAAAATGACTATTTTTACTGGCTTTAAACATATCCTTTTATACTTAAAGATGGTAATTCTAACTTTTTTAAAAACAGTGAGTTTTCCTAGACATATATACTGATAAATATTGTTGCCATGGCTAAAAAAAAAAAAAAAAATACTGTCTAGGTAAAAGAATAAAATGTCCAACCATTAAAACTCCATTAGAGAGGCCCTTTTGTTGTTGTCTTGTCTATCCCCACTACAGTTAAAGTAACAAAAATTGCTCCCTGGATCCACCACAGCCAAACAAAGCCAGCCTCTCCCAAGTGGGAGTGCATCCCTGACTGAGCCTCACAATCCACGATCGCCCCTTGGAATACCTATGCCCTTCCTTGGGAGGACTCCACTTCCCAGGAGACAACAGGGGACCACAAACAACAGGACAACGGCCCTGCTCTAGTCACTCTGAAAGCTGACTAGTCTACACACAGAGGAAGCTCAAACACGGGAAGCACCCCTGCTCTCCTCTGCACACTTGGACTCTTACCTTTTGGGATGGCCCTTACAAGGTTTTTCCCATGTACTAAATGTTATAAGAGAGCCATTGTTGGGACCTCCACACAGCCATACTTTGTATCGTGCACCCACCAGGAGGTCAGATGTTAAGTCAGCACATATACTCCCAGGTTAATGAGGTTGCTGATAAGTAAAACTAAAAACCCCAGAGTAAAGAAAACAATACAGACTACATTTGTCATAAAAGTGGGGTGATGGGTCTTATCCTAGAAGCATACTTAATATTACCCGGCCTGCTCCCCCTTGTATTGTGGTCTATTAGGACCATTATAGAGGCCACTATAAAAAGAAAAATAGCTGCCCCTATCATGATGCTATAAAAATACAATCCCCTAGATCAAGATGATGCTCTTTGACCCTAGGTGGGCTGAGGATCAAAAGGGGAAATGATGTAGCAGGGAAGAGGACCAGAAGAGAAACAGACAGACTGTGTTCTGATAATGAGGCAGGGGGAAGGAATGGCAAAGCAGAGAGATAAAACAAAAAATTGAAACATAAAGAAGGTCACATAACACTGGGAAAATGAAATAGCCAATAAAGTCACATGCAGCGATATGTGGGTTGAGCTTTGCTTTTTTTCCTTCTGTAACCTGCTTGCAAGGGTATAAGGTGAGACCCCTTTGTTTTCGGCTCAGCCTTTAGACAGGGTCTGCTGGGTCTGTGTTGGCACAATAAAACGTTGCTTCCTGCTAAACTGCCTCAGTGTCCTGTATCTCAGCTTGAGATTCCCGTAACAAAATAAAAAATTTCCTGGAACTTAATGAGAATGAAAGCACATCCTATCAGAACCTATGAGACACAGCAAAGGCAGTCCGAAGGGGAAAGTTTATATCCATGACTGCATATATTAAAAACACAGAAAGATCTCAAATGAATGACCTAATGTTGTACTTCAAACACCTAGAAAAAAAGAAGAAGCTAAACCCAAAACTAGCAGAAGAGAAATTATGAAAATAAGGGCCCAAATCAATGAAATACAGACCAAAATAACCATATAAAGAATCAACAAAACAAAAAGTTGGTTCTTTGAAAAAAATAAACAAGATCGACAAACCCCAGGTAAATCTCACTAAAATGGAAGGAGAAGACCCAAATTAATAAAATTACAAATGAACAAGGGGAGATAACTGTGTAACAAACACCAAGGAAATCTAGGAATCATCAGGGACTACTTT